TCAAAATAATATCTTAACGATTTGATTTAGAACCGCTGTATTCAGTTTTGAGGGAATTGGATTAGTTAGTAAACTCATCACTGAATTCATCGTTTAACACAAGCATATAACCTAATGCTTGGTTTAACAGGTGATTCCGATTGCGGATTCAATGCGAGAGCCTCATAAGTTTGGGCGAGCATTAAGCGGTGTAATGATATTTTTAACAGGTATGTAAGTGCTGGTGAATATTACCGGATTAGCTTTGAACATGCGATTATAGTGCTATTCGCTGGAGCTGGCGTTCTAGCTTATACGGCATACGGTAGCAAAGTGCAGACTGTTATTATTCTCAATCTCCCTCAAGAACAAAAATTCGTTCAAGTGGTGCGTTCGTTCTCAACCAACTTGACAGGAACCCGTTCTTAGAATTAATGTCACAGGTTCAATTTTTATACTCTATGGCTATTTTGTTGTCTATGCCTTTGCAGCTATTCCCCGGTGTTCGTATTATGGAAAATGGATTATTTACTCGCAGCGGCAAACATTCTTTAAGGGTTAAATGGCAGAAGAATGCTTTTCGTTGTTTAGTCGTAGCTGTTTGCACGGTGGTTAGCTGGTTGGGGGCTGCTGACCTCGATAAGTTTGTCGCATTCGTAGGATGCTTTGCTTGGTCTGTCCCTACATAAAGTTATCCATAAAGTTATTAACACTCAGTGGCACTTTGCTTAGTGTCCCACTTTGCTACGTTTACCCGCCGATGTTACACTATAAAGCTTGCGCTCGCACCAAATTGTCTAAATGTGGGGATATTTTATTAATAATCTTTGGTATTATAGCTACTGTTTTCACGACGGTTCAAACGGTCAAGGTAATTAAATAAGTTATCCATTTTTCGTTAAAGAAATTTAACGAATATTTTACTTTTTTTAGCTCATGTTCGAATCCCCCACTGAAGCAATTCCTATTGGAAGTTGCCCCGAACCTTCTGGAGGTTTACTATAAATTCAGATAATGATTAACACTACTTGTATTAGACACGGTGTGTTCATAATCGGGCGACTAGTGTGCATATGCATTCCGTCTTTTCATACCTCTAACTACATTACTTTTTTTACAATATGACTTACATATTATTCTTGTCGCATATCCCTCGTCCAATCATGGACGTGATGACCGGGGTTGCTTTGACGCATCTATCTGAACTGGCGGGCTTCCTTAGAAACGGCAATATTACCTTCCCCTTCACTGCTTATTCATAGGTGCTGACTTGGGGGTGCTTTGGGTAGATTAGCCTCTGTCGACTCGTATCATCCTGGTTGAAAACTCTTTATTCTGAAGTCGGGAAAAAGTAAGGGATTAGCATAGACATATGCAGATAAGTTCTTATCGTGTCCTTTTTTATCTTCCTCCTTTTAGACATAAAGACACTTGTCCATTGAAACACCACAATCCATTCAATATCAAGTCTTAACTTCAGAAAACGTCCATTTCAAAGGAATGTATATTGAGTAGTAGTATTGGCTCTCCTCGGGCATTGAAATTACTAACTTGAAGTTTCATAAAACCGATTGTTACGGTCGTATAATTACTTCTCGTAGTGTTTCCCCACACCTTACAGCTGTTTCAAAAATGCAAGGCATTTGCTAATCCAGGAGTAAAAAGGAAAACCATCACCATTGCCTCAAATCTGATCCAATTGACTTGAAATTTTAAATATAGGCTTATGTATCTAGTGCATACAATAAAATTTGAGAAAAAATCTCCCAAAAAAATTTTTTTGTCAAAAAAAAAAAAACATGAAAAACAAAACATTTTTTTGTAAATTATATTGTGTGCACTAGATACATAATAGATAAGTCTATATTCCAAATTTCAAGTCATTTGAATCAAATTTGAAGCAATGGTCGCGGTTTTCTTTTTTTGCTTCTGGATTACATTTTCGAAACGGCTGTAATATTCGGAGCTTTTAGTTTTTTTCCCATCGATGTACGGATTTGGATTAATAAAGCCCCCGAATAAGCATAGCTGTACGTCAACGGTGGAATAAATCCTCACTGCATGTCCTTCGCGTTTCGTGAATCGTGATGCATTGATGCGTGACCTCCGTGACAATACGCGTTTTTTTACCCATTATGCCCAAAAGTTGCAGAACGACGCCAGTGACGACGCCTAGTCGTCGCTCGATGAGATATAAGATCCAGGCTGCAGATTCCCAGGAATCTAATATAGACGGATACATTGATTCTTGGCTGGAACCCGCTTTGTATACTCGTTGTACTTCATTTGAAGATGATTTACATCAACCAGAGATCGACGTCATAAACACCGTCGAAGCGAGGAGCGAAACGACCCAACTCTCGCTGAAGATGAACACAACTTTCTATAAGGCTTTTTCGCGAACAAAAGGTCCGCCGGCTACTAGTCCGCGTAAAAGGCAGAAGTTGGGGGCAGAAACATATGGTGTTGGCGATACCGTTTTTGTTAAGTCGCAAACTGGAATCCACAATGTCGCCGTTATTATCTCAATGTGGAACACGGAAATATTGGAAGGAGAGTTTCCTGATAGTTTGATGCATAACAGTATGAAAGTCCAAGTACAGTGGTTTATGCGCCCGCACCAATGCGCAATGGTCCGCAAACATAGAAAATTTTATCAGGTCTGTCTTATGGTTTTCAAGCTTGACCTTTTCTCTCTCATCTCGTTTAGAATGAACTTTATTTTACAACTGATCAAGTAGCGACTCTTGATCCTTCAAGTATTACCGACCATTGCACGGTTTCTAATACCCCCGACGACACCAGTGCGTTAATAGAGATGTATCCTGAACAAGCCTCTAGGCCCAAAACAAGCATCAAAGACTTTGTCTGTCGGTCTGCATTAAATAGTGGACAGGGACAGTACTATGAATTAAATTGGGAAGAACATCGCGAATTTGCTTTATCGAAACTGGAGGATAAAGCCAAATACATTTGGCGAATCGATAACGCCACCACTCAAAGTAAACCACAAGACCTGCTGGGTTCAAGGCAATTATCTAGTTACGGTGAAAACGTTAGTGACGAGGAGGCTTCGGATTATGGAAACATAATGGAAGAGGACAATTCATCGGAAAGCGAAGACTTGGATCTCATTGGACACGATGGAGACGAAGATGTTGATGATAAGAAAGCTCGAAAGTCACCTTCAAAAGTTAAAAACGAATTAGCGCCATTAACTGGACGAAAAAGGCGAAAGCAGCCCACCTTAACACCTGATTCTAAAACAGCATCGCGTTTGAGGAAGAAAAGGAACAGGGCTAACCGCGATTTCTCCGCAATCCTTTCACTCTCACGTTTAGCTACCGACAGTATTCGGTTAGAAAACTTACCTTCTGATCCGTATTTGCGAGTAATGCGATTGCTCCATGTCGGTGCACGACCAGATGCATTGCCATGTCGAGAGGACGAATATATGGAGGTAATGAGTACTGTGTTGTCCTTGTTGGAAGAAGGCAGTGGCGGTTGCGTATGTGAGATACTGAATCAACTTTCCGATCTGAACACACAGGTATTGAATATTATTTTTTTTATCAGACATATCGGGGGTCCCAGGAACTGGTAAAACAGCCACAGTTCACAATGTGATTAGAGATTTGAAGTCTATGGCCCGGAGAAGTGTGAGTTGGCGGCTTATCGAGAGACGTTGACACCCATTTATTCTTCAGGAAGTAAACCCCTTTACTTATGTGGAAATCAACGGACTGCGAGTTTCCGAGCCTTCTAACGCTTATTCTTTACTATGGGAAGCGGTTTCCAATCATGATGCTGAAATTGATGGAAAGCTTGACATTCGCTCCAAGGAGGCTTTGCGAAATTTAAACCTATTCTTCACTGCAGGTGTCCGGGCAGGTCCTGGTGGTCATGCATGGTATATGGGTAGTTTAGTCGATTTAGCTTCATATATACTTATATATTTCTTAGCATTGTCTTGATGGACGAACTCGATCAGCTGGTTACGCCAAAGCAGGATATCATATACAACTTCTTTAACTGGCCTAACCTTTCTAATTCAAAACTGATCGTCGTTGCAGTTGCAAATACTCACGATTTACCTGAGCGAGTTATGAGTGGAAAGGTCCGAAGCCGATTGGGTACGTTTTGTAGTGTATCTCAGTAATATTCTAAACCTCGATCCCTCGCAGGCATGCTTCGAATTAATTTCCACCCATACACGAGAGACCAACTCCAAAAAATTGTGGAAGCACGATTAACAGCGGCTAAAGAAGGTACGAAGTCCAAGGATACAATGGATATATTCGAACAGGACGCTATCAAGTTCGCTGCTATGAAAATTTCGGGTGTTAGTGGCGATGCCCGAAGAATCTTGGACGTTTGTAGGTACGAAAAGTGTTCACTATGGGTCTATGTTGGTATTCTCACATGAAGCCAGACGATCAGTTGAACTTATACTTTCGACAAACGACAAACTTGTCAGAATCGCCCATGTCAAGCAAGTGATTGACTCCATGCAGAACAGTCCAACAGCTGCATTCCTTCGCGATTGCAGTCTTCATGAGAGGATATTGTTGGCGGCCTTACTAAAGTGCATTAAACGTGAAGGGGTAGATGAAATCGCATGGAGCGATGTAAGTTTGCAACCTAATTCCTGTTGGGCTTTATTGGACATATTATTTAGGTTGCACATCAACATCTAATGTATATGAATACTTTAACTGATCTTAGGGATGCTCCAATGCGAAAACCAAGTGCGCTAGAATTGTCACTTGTTTTGGATTCTCTCGTGGCATCGAGAGCAGTAATTCTGGATATAGCGGTCAACCCGAAGAAACCCCCATCTGGGCGTAAGGTTATGCTTAACCTTGAAGCTGGTGAAGTTGAACGTGTTTTGAGCGAAGTAGGAGGTACAAATTGGAGAAATGCTTTGGGAATGTAAAACTGTTTTGTGGATGTTTATATACGAAGAAATGAATGATTTCATCCGATGTAATTGACAAGTAGAACGAGCGCGAGACTATAAGGCATTAATGGGGTAGTGGTAACCTCGGTCGTTGCCATCGACCGGCCGCGAGTTCGATTCTCGCTTAATGCATTTTTACCAGCATTCTTTTGAATGCAGGATTGAAAACCCGTCCAATGACAAAGCCTATTTGAAGGCCCAACATGCATGGCACTGTGTCCGAGTGGTCCAAGGAGTGTGACTCAAGCGAAAGCTTGCCCTTTGGGGTTTCTCATCTGTGTATGCAGGCAGGGGTTCGAATCCCCTCGGTGTCAACCTTTTTTTCACCATTGAAGTATCCCTACCTACCTAGTATATGATGCTCACAAGGTCATCCTTGTTGCTATAAAATGAGATAAAGAAAAAGCAAAGGAAACAGTGCAGGACCGGATTCAGATAAATAGGGGGTCAGGCGTAGAAAAAGGTTGACACCGAGGGGATTCGAACCCCTGCCTGCATACACAGATGAGAAACCCCAAAGGGCAAGCTTTCGCTTGAGTCACACTCCTTGGACCACTCGGACACAGTGCCACTGAACAACCTCTTCTACACAAAAGCCGTTGACGAAATACAGAAAATTTCAACACGGTTCGTCACGTATGACCGACGTGACTAACTCGCGTTTGAACCTCATGGCAACCGAACTCTCCCATCGAGGTTTCTCTACATGGATATCAGTAAATGGTGATCCCGTTCCCGTCTATAATATCCAAACAGAAGGTTCTCGATGCACAGGGTGGATCCCAAGTGAAGTAGGAAAAGTAAGTGGCTTCTTGCTTCCAAGTATGACAGTTTGGATGATTGCAGCATTTCAGTGTTTGCTGGAAAAACAAAAGTGGTGATCGAATCGCAACTTCAGGACATGTTTTTGTAGATGGAAGGGATGTTGCTTCTGCTATCATGCGTCCTGGAAGGTCAATACCCGTTGAACGAGCAGGCATGAAAACAAGTTCTCGACGAATAAAACCTTTCAAATTTTCTGTGTTAACACTTACTGGTCGGTTATCTGATGAATATTTTTTCGTTTGAATATGGCTTGACAATGCAAATTTAGATGATGATTCAGTCGCTGATATACATGATCCTTCCTTGGAACATATGGGTACAATCAGGGTGGGTTCTAAAAATATGTTTCATAATGTATTTTTATTCAAAATTCAAAATAGTTGGAAATATCACAAGTAAAGTTAGGATCAGAAATCCAATTCAAAGGTTACCGAGCAGAAGAACATTGTGCTGTTCATGAAAAAGCCAAAAAGTTGGGAGCCCACTGCACATCGTAAGTTGCTTTAACCAGTTTTTTTGCCCAATGGCACTATGTTTTTTTTTTTTAAGGTTTGGTCCTGGTCAACGCACCGACTCGACCCGCACAGTCGCCATCACTACAATTCCTTATGATGAGAATCGCCCGGGACCATATCTCACCTTCGTATTTATATACAGAAGTCCAGGTTTGTTTTCGTTCTCATAGATATATTGTCTTCTAAATAAGTCCTTCTGTTACTAAGATTTATTAAGGGCCATGGGTATTTTTAACGAAGGAAAGGCGCAGTCTCTTACTGGAATTTCAAATGAGATAGTTGTAATATCGGACAGCGAGGACGAGGTAATTTGCCCCTTTTCAAATTCCGTACGTATTTGAATGAAAATGGGTTTCTAGGACCAAGAACCTGTCAGAAAGAGGCCTCGATTGTCAAGTTCCAACGAAAGGAAGCCTAAGCAGCCAGAAGAACGACATCCAGAACTTTCGAATAATGAGGTATCCCCTGAAAACGGCGAAAATCGCAGGGAGAACCAACAACAGGAAGATATTCATGTAAGTTTTGGAACCCCTTCACTGCTTCAAGGAGTTCCCCAGGATGAGGAACCCCGAACGGAAGGAACCCCGAACGGAAGGACATAACCCGGGCGTCTACAGCCTCATCTGCTGTGAAAAGACGAACTCACAGTAAATCTACCTTATTGTTAAATGTATTTCTTTAGCCTAATTTATAATTATCTTTCTTTCCCTGATGTTTTTTTCTCGTATGACGCGTATGCGTAAACGCGGCCGCGCCACTTGACAGTTGGACCTCGGCATTTGTTGGCATCATGCGTATTGGTATCTCCTATAGACCAACGCGCTTCCTACGCTTTTGCAAAAAGAAGCCTCTATTTATTTGTTTTATCCGTTTACATAAACACTTTACTTGTTCTTTGTTTCAGACCCGTGACAACAATGGATACTCCGTCCAGTTCAAAGACAAACCTCACTTGGGGAAGTATTGGAACTGCGTTTGGTTTCATTGCATTTGATGCCCTTATCTCGTATTTCTTTCGCCTGAAAATAGGAGAGCTGCTCGTGGTGGCTTCAATACGATGTGTAGTACAACTTGGCTTAGTTGGATTAATCCTCCAGAGTGTATTCGAGACAAAGAATATTTGGTTTGTAATCGGAATAACTTGTACGTATGTTGCATACTATCTTGTCTTGATTACGATAGCCTGGTATTACTTGCTTTAGGTCTTTTAAACCTTATCGGTGCCTTTGAAATTGTTGTGAACCGTTCCCCAAGGAGGTATTCACACATGGTATCGTACTACTTATTTCTCCGGTCCCGAAATGTTGACTAGGGGTCCTAAATCCCTCTTAGTTCCCCGCGATACTGATTGCGATGTTAGTTTCCACAATTCCAATATCGATCATTGCAACATCTTTCATTATGTCGGTGAAACCATTATGGAAACCAGACGAATACAGTACGTGGAGTCGGTATCAATCTTATATATATATGCTTCATTTATTGTCTAATAACAACAGTTCCTATCGTTGGTATGCTTGCTGGTGCCAGTATTTCGAGCATTATTATTGCTGTGAATGATATTATGAAAGAATTTCACGAAAATAGGGATAGGGTCGAAACATACCTAGCATTTGGAGCTTCACGTCTGGAAGTGGCTATTCCTATCGCTCAACAAGCGTTACAACTTGCCTTAATGCCTCCAGTTAATCAAATGAGGTAAGGCATGCAAGTTGGTATGAAAATCAACAAACCAAATGTTAATTAAAAGAATATAGTGTTTTAGGCATCATTTCGATACCCGGTATGATGACAGGGGCCATTCTTGGTGGTAGTAGCGTTGAACAAGCTGCCAAGTTGCAAAGTGAGGGTTGGTGTTTGTTTTGAGGATATACTTATAATCTTCTCTCTAGTTGTCATTATGTTTTGTATCAGTGCCAGTACAGCCTTAGCTTCAATCGTATCCGCTACATCTAGTCTATTTATCCTTATTGATCGACAACACCGTGTTCGACCAGACAGACTTGACGCAAGGGAACACATAATCTGGAGGACACGCGATAATATTATTCAGAGGGTCGCATCAGCATTTAAACGTCTTTTGAAGAAGAGTCAACATTCATCACGCCCTTCCGGTAGTAGGGAAGAAAGACAGGGATTGTTGGAGGGACCATCGTCTTGAACAAGTGCCTTTACATAACATAATTACAGTTACAGAATTCCTTCATCGTACATATTTAGCCACGATAATTACTAGTGAACAAATGAAATATTGTCTATTCTTCCCGCTCGGTGTCAATTGTCAAAAAATTCATCAGGTTCTATGCCAAGCACATATTGATCGACTCTTGTATCCCGTTTTTTGTTATTGGATGCTGGAGCCCATGATTGCTTTTTGTATTCGCCCGCAATCTGCTTGGGCACTACAAATACCAGGCTCCACTTTGGATCCCCTGGCTTCCAGAGGGTGTCCAAAAACCCCGGGTTTAACGGATGTGACCTTGATAAGGTATATTGGAAAAAAATCCTGTGTGGTTGCTCACCTGAAGGCCCATCGTAGAATATTAAAGAATCTACCCCAGGTAAGGTGGCGGTTAGCGGAATGTAGTATATATTGAGAGCGAGTTTCTTAGCATCTTTGGGGATCAAAGTGGCGTGATTCCTTACACACGATGTCAAATTCCCTGACATTATTGGAGACCAACGAACGAGCATTCAATGGTTGGGCCCGAGACAGTAGATAACAGATAATGTTGTGTCTATGCTTTTCAAAAACATAACCTAAAGGGGTTTGACCTTTGAAGACATTGGAAACCTCACGAAATGTCTCCGCAATAATTGATCGGTGTGCCCGCCCGCATAAACTGATTGAAAATGTATTGCGACGTAACCTCGCAATACATAAACTTCCGATCAACTGAGCCGTCGATTTTCACATCAGGTTCAATTCTGATAAGGGTACTACTCTCTTCCTCAGGAATATCGTTTTGTTTGCCGACAAGCTTTCGGATGTCCGGGCAGCTCTTGATGGCCCTGGCGATCTGGAGCTCGATTTCTGCAGGTGTCTGGTCAAGAAGAAGTCTCGCACATCCACCATATTTCAGAAAACAGTCACGCAGCTCATCCGTCTCATAATTATACTCGGCTGACACAAATTTCCTAAATAATATTATTGAATAATCAATATACAAGAAACTACAATTGCTTACCATGCTTGAAAAATTCCCTTCCATTCCCAGGTTTTCATCACATATGGGACTGCACTAGATTCCTTCAGCCAATTTTTATAGCGAGATCGGTTGGGTGATGAAGCTGCGAGAATTAAGTTACTTCCAAACACATTTATGTCCCATTGCGTCTGTCTTTCGTTAAAGTCAATTAAGACCAGTGGGGGCTCCTCATTCAACTCGGGATTGATCTTCCATAAGGTTCGTACCGAATCCCCCGCAACGTCGTAAACCCCACTTTGATGAAATAAGTACCGTTCATAGAAGTTGAAGGAGAAAATTGTTGCTTGACCAGCAAGCAGTCTTTGGACAAGGTGGTAAGTTAGGTAAATGGTCTTGCCTATTGTCAAAATAGTAAATCATAAGTCATAAAAAACTGATAGGTGTCACAGACCTATTCCTGGCTGACCTAGCAGAAGGAAGGATTTGGATTTTGTTGACAGGGTGGTATATTTAAAAAATTCCACATATTCATTTCGAACAAGGAAACGATTGCGAAGCAGACCCGGCTTGTCTCCGATCACCTTTGACAAGTCATAAACAATAGCATCGATCGCCGTTGCGTCAGTTGATTTTTCATAAATATCCGGGACAGGTTCAGAACTTTTCTCCTTGATGGAGTCATCAGACCCTCGACCCCATAGTGCTTTGAATAGTTTATGTAACCTTAATGTACTGTCAAGAAGGTATCCGTCTGTAGAACTCAATTTATCATCTTCGTGTTTCTTCTTTGACCAGTGTGAGCTAACTCCGGCACTCTCACGTTTC